CATGGAGAAATGTGAACCTTTAATTAAAATGGCAATGATAAACTGAATGCATATACAAGAAGTCAGCTGAAGAGTAGAGTGATTCAGAACAAGCTCAGCAGTTAACTAGTATTTGTTCTAGATAATTTCACTGTCACAGTTTGAATTCAAGGACGTTTGATGCAATGTCTGCAGTGAAAATATGTAAAACCACCAGCATTTGGTAAAATAGAGTTTGGCACTCACCCTTCACCCATGTTCCTGTTGCATTGCCTGATGGCACATTAGGCACATCATTGCAGCATAAGAGCAGAATGTTGTTGCAGATGTAATTGTATTAACAGGACATTGTGTACAGTGAAAAAGGACATCGTCAGAACAATGTGGATACGAAAGTGCTCTATGACTCATCTGCTTACCCTGGCAACACCATTTGGTTAATCGTTGATGGTGATTATGTGACAGAGCCACTGGGTTACCACATCACTTGAAAGTGGAGAGAACATGGTGGTGCTGAAGGAAGCATGCACTACAGTGGTTCTGTGCGGGTGGGTGTGGGTGTGAAGGGGGGGAGTCAGCACAGGATGCAAAGAAGGAGCTGTAAGAAGCCTAGAGATAGTTAGTCATCCAAGGCAGCAAATGAACAAGGCAGTACTACCTGCAGTACTTTGTATTTTAATACAAGGCGGCAGGTTCTAGCCAAGAATGTGCTGAAGAGCTTTGGCAAAAAATATATTAAAATACAATTATTTTAGAAATACCTAAAGTATGGTCCTTCAGTGTTTTTATTCACATCTTCTACCCACTTAGCTACATTATATTCTCTTTTGTACCATGGGTTTAAATACCTGCAGAAAGCATTGGGGGTGGGAGAACAAAGGAAGTGGAATAAGAAGAAGAGGATATCTGAGATCACAGCAAAGCTTAGCAAGAGGTTCTTTCTTCACCAAAATGCAAGTGAATATGCCACATACATTACTATGGTTCTACAGAGCAAACTGCAATGTATACAAATGAAATGGTACAATGTAAACTACACCAAGGCTCATACAATTAGACACAGTGGCTAATTTGGCTCAACATAAAATACAAGGCTCTCTGCAAATTAGCTTTTCTGTTTCAATAGTTTATGCAAAACTGAAGTACTACTATACATCACATCATCACCGTCTATAAGCACAGAAAAATGCATTGAAAACACAGAAACCATTCATCCCAAAAGCAGCAACACGAATATTAGCAGGCATTAAAGCAGCAATTAATACTACATATGTGCACTATCCCACAGCATTCATTTAGTTCATGGTTTCCAATTTTCGGCAATTCCGCAACACTAGAAATTGCTTTGTTAAAGTTACTTTAATAGTGAGAAGGCTGGCTACCTATTGCTGCCTCCAAGCAGTCAAATCAGTCTTGCATAATAAAACTAGAAGCATTATTTTGCAATTATGTGAGGATTGTGTACACAGGGATTTATTTTGGCAGATTTCATGATAGAGTTTGAAACTGTGAAACATACAGGGGATATTGACAATAAACTATGACAGGCTTTATTAATGTTCTAAATCCTGCCCCTAACATATTATTCTGCTTTTAATGAAAAGTGAATTCCTTGCATTTCTTTTTTAAAAATGGTGGCAATCCAGGACTGAACGATTGTCCAGAAGTCAGAAGGGTGGCTCAGCTCCAAACAGTCACTCAGTATTGGGCAAGACTGACTGAATATTCTGCACCTTGTGATAATCATCATATCTCAGGCCGCAGATTCCCCCCCATTCCTTGGTTTCTTTACAAGGAAGAGCATACGTGTAGATGTGCCCTATGAGCTGCTACATAATTCATACAGAACCTATACATAATCCTTCACTGTGCACTATTCCCTTGCTATAAAATAGCGTGGTGAAGACAAACAGTTAAAAGGCAAGAGGTTTTAATAACAATAACTATTTGCCAAAATGTTATAAATTGTCTTCAATGTACTTTTAACTTTAAAACCCTGTGTTTTACTCCATGAGCCTTTTGTAGTTAGGTCATGTCAACGGAACACAATAAAATACAGACACAAACACAATGTAACATCAACCAATAGCAACTTCATCTGCATTCTGGTCACCATCAAGCAAATAAACTGCTGCTCACTTGGCTCATGCACAAAGGACTGATCAGGAGAAACAGTTATGATGTGGCTTATGTCACTCAATGGCCTTAATGCAACCCCCACCCCCAGTGAAGTATTTTTAAAGAATAGACATTAGTACCTGCTAAAAGAGATTATGGAATCAAAATTGCGCTGTTTCTTAACTCATTCCAGTACTTCATTATTGCCAGTGATAATTAAGAAACAAGACTGAATTGCAGTCAAAAAATTATCTTTAAAAAATTGTCCTTAATGACTGAATTCCATCCTCGATTTTAGAAGAATGTTTTCTCTTTCCGCGCCTCTCGGAATACAAACATGGTAATCTTGTTTTAAATATAGTGAGGGAAGTGGCTTTTTCATTCCTAGTTCCAAAATCTACTATTTTACTGTGAGTAGCAATTTTGCAATTATGCATTCATAGAAAGAAAAGTTAAGAGATTGTGGATTCACACTCCATGTCAGGGCTTTGAGCACATAGTCTAACTAGTGGTGACCAACTTTTATGGTCGACCAACTATTTTTGATTGAACATTTCTTGATTTATACCAGTGTATTGGTTAGAGCACTCGCCTCACAAGCAGGAGGACCTGAGTCAACAACCCCCAGATAAAATTGATCATACACTTTGGGACATTACTGTGCGCAAAGTGGCATTCACCTTCAAATAAATCTTTACTGTACTTTACAAAAACTGTAAATTATTATTTATTACAATTATTTTTAGTCCATGATCTGATGAAGAAATCCACTCTCTGACACATGCTTAAAGACTTTTCCGAGCTATGCGTGGATTGAGAAAACTTGAATCAGGAGATGGAGAGTGGAATGTATGTTTCACACCTCCCTGTCAGGCACTGCCGTAAAAATAATTTTAAAAGCAAACATTATAAAAACCAATCCGAAATCCCAAATTAAAAGTCTGAAAGACCTAGAGAGATGTTCAGTCCTAAAGTTGTCTTTAAAGATATCTTTTCAGTTGATGAAGTGTTCCTTAATTATCCCTAGCGATAATAAGGAACTGAATGCATTTTGGATTACTGCATTTTTAAGATTAAAAAAGTGATAATCAAATGTTCACTGTTAAAGATTTTGTGACTATTACATTTATTAATCACTGTGTTTCGTAATCAGTCATTTATTAATCCCCTGTGTCACTTTGAAATATTTAATTTGGGTTGGTGTCATATTGCAGCTAGAATTCAGGTTAAAGATATAAATGACTTAGCGAGAGAATAGTAATTCTCCCTCTTCAATTGAAGATCTCATTCAAACGTCAAGGCCACAAAGTGAAAAATGTGAACCTAACCCCATTCAAATTTAGATCCTAGTATCCAATTCTCTCTCTCATGACATATACTAGATCATCCTGTGGTAATGCTTGTCCTGTTAATACTTGCAAATTTATACCAGAATGAAAGCAAGTTTGAAGCTCCAACTGGTATAAAGCCGTTAATGGAATTTATCTATATGAGCAACTATAAAATCTTATCCAGGCAGACTGGGTCTTCAAAGCATCTTTCCACAGGTTCTGTGTTAGCATAACCTGGGACAGAATACAACTGGTGCATTGATCACAATACTCTGTAGAGCAACACTGATTTCAGGGTACATTTCCAATCTTCCAACAGCTCAGTATTTTGTATGTTTCAGTATTCTTTGATTATTAGAAGTGAGAGCTACACAAAATGATTGCCTCATTTCAAATTAATATTCATTTGCTTAAAATGTGATACATTCCAAAGCAAACAGAGATTTCAAATAATTCACCAGCGCAGTCTTCAAGTGTAAAACGTGACAGAGTCCCTAATGACGAGAGTGTACAGGGGACTGGGCACAGGAGTGATAATGGATTCTAGATTTTGGAGTTGGGTCTACTCCCACTTTTGGAGAGAGGAGAGTGGAAAGTTGATTGTTGTTGGAAGCCTTCATTCAAGCAATAAATAGAAATCCATTTGAAGTGAATTCTCATTTTAAGGGAGAATTGAATGTTTTTTTTCCCAGATAAATCTAACTTGTCCAATTATCTCTCTCCACTGATATACACCCGCCTCTTCTCTTGTTCTAGCCGCCTCCTCTAGGGTGCGGCTTCATGGGCCATCGTTGCCATCTGGTGCCTCGCACTGTGCTCATTGCTCATATGTAAACCTTGGCAATGATTGTCAGCGGGCCACTTGACTGTAGAGGGCTTCCACCAAGCCTGACCTCTCCCCACCTGGCTCCCACGCACCTACACACACATGCACAGTACGCAATACTACATAAGGACCAGAAGCAGGAACCCTGGTTGGTTTTTCCCCTCCTTAACCCTGGGAAGGCCAGGGCCAATTTAAACTCCACATGCACCTCTAAGCATGGATTGGGATTTGAACCAGCAAGTACTTGAACTGTGAAGTGCAGCTCTACCCATTACACCATCAGGGATGCCCCTGAAAGAAATCCTTTTATTGTCATGGGTAAAAATGTCCTGAGTGTGTTATAGTGTAATGGAAAAGGCGGAGAGGCTCCGGGACAGAGTTCCAGAGGGTCGGGGCAGAAAGGCTGATGGCCCGACTGCTGATGGTGGGGAGGGCAGATCGCAACTCTTAGAACGGTTTCAACAGCTCATTCAAGTTTTTTTTAGTAAGAAAGGCAAACGCTTAAAGAAGTCAATGAAGAAAACCCCACTTGCTGAAGTTACTTACTGTACACACCATAAAACATGTAGAACAATGGAAATTGACAGTACAGACGGAGACCTTTCAGCCCATTACACACGTGCTGGCCAGCTCTCTGAAAGAGTATCCATTTAGTCCCATTCTCCTGTTTTCCTCAGTGCAGATAGAAAATACAGAATGTAATGCATCACGCCAAAACAATTTCTACTTCAAAGCTGTGTACTCACTCTGTAGAGTTAGAGCGTGGTCTGAATTTCTTTCCTTTCATTTTCTTTCGGTTGGCTCCCAAATTCCCTGAAGGAAATAATCAAAACATAATCAGAACAACAACAAAATTACATTTGTATAGCGCCTTTCACGTTGGGAGGACATCCCAAGGCACTGGCATAAGCCTAAAGAAAGAAGTTCTCCAGTAGCAACTGTTACATTCCTGTTCCTCCGTCTGCCAGACAACAACCTGGAAATAAAATGATGGGATCTTGCTTGCGGTGACTTACTGCTGTGCTCCAAGGAGGTTTCCAACCCTGATAATATGTTCTCGTATTCTAAATGGCTGCAGTAGACAGTAGGGAAGGGAAGGAAAAATGGCAACACTTTACAACATGCAAAAACATCTCACGTGGGGTGACACTATCGGGAACGTGCTGATGTTCCCACGTCCCATTCACGCTCTTTCACATCTGGAGCTAGCACAGAGCAGGACTGAAGGTAGCAGAGAGCAGAGAAAGACATGAATGTGAACTCACCAACTAGCAGGTGTTGAATTTCTAACTCTACTTCGCTTCACGCCCCATCTCCATGCAGGCTCCAGTGCTAAGCAACATCAATGACATCGCAACGCAAGCATGCATTGAACAGACACGGGCTCAGATTCTGTGCCTCAGTAAAGGATAAGAAACAAGAAGACCTTTCAACGTGGAATGTGCTCTCGTTTCTGCATGCAAACCAAACCATATAAAGTTAATCGGCACCACAGCACACCATAAAACCCATCAAGATGAGATGAGTAGCCAATTAATTTGAATTTGGAGTTGATTTGAATTTAGGGTTAATTTAGATGAGGAACTGATATAAAGCAGGTTAACTGGGACAGGGGAAAGGAAGTGACAAGATGAACCATGGAAACTCTTCTCTCTGGTATCCAGATCCAACCAAGTGAACATAATATTTAAATTTCTGATTGGAAGTGAGATCAGATCAAAAATTTACATTATTATTAATACTAATCTTACATTTGGCAAGAATGTCTCAAAGCACTTCAAGGGATTTACTCTATAGTGACTGTATTTTTGGCAGTAAAATGCGGCAATCGATATTGTACACAGCAAATAACCAACTTTAATTGAGCCATTGTTAAAATAGAGATGGTTCTCTGCTTGTTTAATAAGGTTATGAAGAGGTATAAAGAAATGGTTTTAAAAGATCTGCCATGATCTAATAAATTACTGGACCAGCCTCGATGGGCTAAATGACCTCTTCCTGTTTCTATGATACAATGCACTTAAGAGTTGCCATCACTATAGCATTACGGTGTTGCTACTGCATCCTTTCCATTCCCTGACTTCAATCCCAAATATACCAACAATGTAAAATTTAGCCATGGGTACGGTTTGGAGGTTTTATCCGTCATGTTGTACTGGGGTTAACCAACTAAAAATGAAACTTGCATTAAATATTAAAGAGCACAAACCTTGCCAAGAGTTACTTCTTGGTCGGCCATTTTCACACACTTCTGAAATATGTTTTTCCTCTGGAATCCGTTCACTCCAAGAATGCGAGAGTCCATTTGATCTGAAATAAAGTGAGGCACACAATACAATACAGTTTCCGCTTGGAGTTAATCAAAGGTTTGATGAGGTTCCAGAGAATAATGGGAACATTTGATTATTCTGTGGATTCTCAAACGTGCATTGTCACAATACCCAAACGGAGACGTCACTCCATCTGTTATTTGTTTTGATGCAATACTGACGGTGACATTCAAACAAAGAAACTTGCATGAGTTAACAGAAAGTGCAGCCTTTGGCGTGACAACCCTTTTATGCTTACCTTGGTGCATGCAATTCATTACACTGCAGCTGACTCACAAGCGAAGGAAAGGCGTCCCAATTTTCTGCTTTGCGTGTGCGCAAAGTCGTGCTGTACATTCACAATTTCCACCTGTGTGCTCCTTATCTCTGTTTTACTTATGTACTTTTTAAAAAAAAACTTGCAACTGTATCAGCCTATTTTCAAGACCATTTCAGAGTCTGCACGTGGAAGGAATAGATGGACGGTAATACTCAAAGGAAATTTGTTCATTAGAAAACTTCAGTAGTCAAAATTGGTTCCCTCCGAGACTGTCAAACTCCTGTCCGTAAATGAATAGATAGGAGCAGCCCCAATTCCAATATGCCAATGTTCAAGGTGTGGGAAGAGGGGGCTCTATGTTGCAAGCAAATCATTTTCACCTGCACACAAACTCAAGCGTTCAACCTAAATCTCTCAACACATTTGGGGAGAAATTTCCCAAATAGGTCTAGATTTTCTTAATTTATGTAGCATTTTAGAGCATCCATTTGGCAAATTCTTAAATACAGTGTAGTCTTAATTTTGATGGCGGTATTCTGTAAGATGTTTCAAGAACTACAGAAAATTGACTTCAAAGCTCAGACTGAATTTCAACAATTTGTCTAATTCTGGTTCCTCTGAAATTCTATGTTCATAGAGTAAATCTAGAGACCCAGGTGGAATTTTCCCCCAGGGTGAGTCATAGCCCTGGGGGTGGGTAGCTCTTTCAAAGACGCAGGCACGATGAGTTGAATGGCCTCCTTCTGTGCTGTAAAATTCTATGATTCTATGATAACAGCCTTCGACAATGTCTGGAGAAGCACTACATCTATTTTACTGACTGGGAAAGATAGGACAGAATATTGTAGTAAATATGCCTGCAGGAGTGAGCACTGGCCATTGAGCTGGGGTGGAATAATGAGCACTGGTTTCTGTTTCCTAACCTCAAACACTGCTGGTGCAATGTGTGGCATCCAGTCACCCTGGACTCTGCAGTCCATGTCATGCACCACTCACAAGTGGGCAATGTCAATAACTTTTCATGCGCCCGTTGCAAAAGACACGCCAGCAACTCACAGGCTTTCCAGTTGACCCTTACCCCTTAACTTCTGCCCTCTCTCTGCCCCCATCCTCTGGAATTCCATCCCACATTCCCTTCGCCTTGCTCGCTCCCTTGCCTCCATCAAGACACATCTCAAGACACTCCTCTTCGACCGTGCCTTCGGTCACCCTCCTACCCTCCCTGCTCTCCACCCCTCCCTAATCAGGTCCTAATCCCTGACTGTTAGGCGCCTCGGGACGTCCTCCTGACCTGAAAGACGCTTTACAAATGTAATTTTGTATTGTACTGTGACCTCAGGGTCTAGGATTTGTGAGCCAGAGTTAGGAGCAGCTCAGCAGTGGCTTTCACCAGCAATGAGGAGAGCAGTGATGGAGTGAAATAAAAATACCAGAGTTGTTGTCTCTCCCTAATTTACATGCAGGACTGAGTCTCTCTGTGAAAAAAGTCATCATTTTAACTTAAAAGACGCTTTTGAAGTTTGATCAGTTTGGGTGGGAACCACAATCTAATTTGTAGTTTGCCTTCCACCTTCTCCCAAGGCAGGTGTAGGCTTTTTAGTGTCTGAAACCCGTTGAGGGTAAAAAATACACAACTGGCTACACAAGCGATGTCTGCAATTGTATCCAAACACACAGGGGGATATTGTATCCGAAATGATGAAAGCCTAAGATTCTCTCTCTTTTTACTCATGTGCTTTACTTAATTGTCTAAATTAATTAAATATCCTTGTTGCTTGTAAAAGAACAGGTTGAAAGAGAAATGCAGACCTTTTCTTAGAACTAGATGCTGAAAAGTTTGAGCTGACTCCAGGAGGTATGTCATTATAGAAAGAGTCAGCATCCTCAGGCTTTTTGACATAGTCTCCTTGTGGCATTTGCCTACAAACAGTGGGAAGGTAGGAAAGAAGAGCCATCAAACCCAGAACAAGTACATCTAGAACTACCATCCACCATAACATTGCTATCCATCATAACTGTTGGATTCAAAGCTCAAATTTGGTTGATGTTATGCTGCATGGTATCACAAGCAACATATTTATAAAGCTTTGCTAAGTGGGAAACAAAAGCTGTAAAGATAATGTTAAAATCGAAGCACAGTCTTAACAGGTTTAACACTCAGCTCACCCAACATGTACGTGTTTCTGTGATGAACCTGGCGCTGGGCAGTCCCGGAGCTCCAGAAAAACACAGCTTGAACGTAGGAACATAGAAACAGGAGTAGGCCATTCAGCCCCTCAAGCCTGTTCCATCATTCTATTAGATCAATGGCTGATCCATACCCCAAGTCCAAATTGACCGGCACTCTGACTCACCTGTTGCCATTTGGGTGAGTTTTGCCTTGTTGGTGACTGGATGGAGCACAGCAGGGCAGAGCTTAAGCTGAATCTCTCTTGGGAGAGTCAAAACTATCCCTGCCCTGCAGACATACACCTCCCAACAGTCAACCTCAGAGCTGTGCTGAAAGCCACCACTGGTTGCTCCCAGTGGCTGGGGTGGGAGAAACACACAATCAAATGGGGGGCGGAATAGTAAAGATGTGGATGGGAGGATTATCACTGTGAATATGTATCAGAATGAGAGACTCCAAGTTAGGGTGTGTTTTTCTTCCCCTCTAAAACAAAATATAGAAGACCAAACATTTGATAATGAAAATGAACATACCTTCCTTGCCTGAAGTTTCTTTCAAATGTCGAGCAGAAGGGAGCAAGGAAATAGAAACTAAATTAGTGCCAACAGTTGAGAGAAGAAATTCAAATAGTCAATTTCCAGGAACACTAAAAGTTACACTATTTAATTAATGGTCAATAAACTCTTTGGAGGTTAAACACCTTTTCTCGATCAACCAATCTTGCATTCTCTTACTTTCAGCAACTTGTTTTTGGTTAGCTGGGTGTCTTACACATGCGGAAACCCATCAACGTTCTTAAGAGTATCTAAACCAGATTCTTCTAAAGCTACATGGCCTGCCATTGAGAGCACTGTTTGACAAGCATCCCACTACTTCTCCAGTTAGGACCACTGTAACTATGCACTTTGGCTTCCAGGGTAAACAGGAGTTGATTGGGGAGAATCCCTGCTCCCTTGTGATCGATCTGCCCTTCCAAGGCCTGCCGATGAGCCAGGCTGGCTGGGCTGTCATGAGCAGTCCCCTGGAATACTCCCAAGTCTGCCACACATGACTGATTTCATTCCAAAATTTGGTTGTCAAGCAGGTCCCTTTGGAGCCAACTGAACTCCAAGGGGACACTGCTTACATCTCCTGCAAGGAAAGGATAAGTCACTAGACTATGTTCGTCTAGTCCAACAGTTCCCGGAATCCTCGTGGGGGGGATTGGGTGGGGGAGGAGAGAAGGAGGAATGGGAAGAACACTATAACATCAACCAGATTATATTTGTATAGCGCCTTTCACATCGGGAGGATGTACCAAGGCGTTGGACAGTGTACTGCATTTCAGACCCGAACTGGGGTCAGGGGGGGAGAAGGGAGGGAAGGGGAATGGCCGATGGCACGGTTGAAGAGGAAGGTCTTGAGACAGGACTTGAAAGAGGCTAAGGAGGGGGCGAGGCGGAGTTACTGGGGAATGGAATTCCAGAGTAAATGTGTAAACTACAACACAACAAAATTACATTTGTATAGCGCCTTTCATGTCGAGAGGACATCCCAAGCCGTTGGACAAACAGAGTTACGGACTCGAGCTGAGGGTCGGGTGGGGGACGGGGGAGGGCAGGGGGGAAGTAGGGAGATCGAAAGCATGTTTGAAGAGGAGGGTCTTGAGGTGGGTCTTGAAGATGGCGAGAGAGGGGGTGAGACAGAGGAAATGCGGGATGGAGTTCCAGAGGGTGGGTGTAGAGTGGCGGAAGGCCCACCCGCCGATAGTGGGGTGAGCAAGGCAGGGGATGTGAAGCAGGCCAGAGCCCGCTGAGTGGAGGGAGCAAACAGGATGGTAGGGGGTTAGGAGGTTGCAGAGGTAGGGGGAAGCAAGACCGTGGAGGGCTTTGAAGATGAGGACCAGGATCTTGGACTGTATCCTCTCTGTGATGGGAAGCCAGTGGAGTTGGGCAAGGATGGGGGTGATAGGGTCGGGGAGCCTGGTGCGAGAGAGGACACGGGTTGCAGAGTTCTGAATGATCTGCAGCCTGTGGAGTTGGGGAGTCAGACAAGCAGTGAGTTTGCATAGTCGAGCCTCGATGTAATGAAGGCATGTTTGAGGGTTTCGGCAGTCTGCGGTGTGAGACAATGTCGGAGCCGGGCAACGTTGCGGAGGTGGGGGTAGGCAGAGCGGGTCATGGCGCAGATGTGGGGTAGAAAGGGTAGTTGAGGGTCAAACAAGATCCCAAGGTTCTGGACTGGCTCAGTGAGGTGGAGTGTACATCCACGGATGGTGATGCTGTCAGTGCCTGAAGTGAGGAGGCGCTGACGGAAGCCTATCAGGAGAGCCTCGGTCTTGTTGACGTTCTACTGAAGAAAGTTAACTCTCATCCAGGACTTGATGTCTGACAGACATTCTGTCAGGACAGCAGTGGTCCTGGAGTCAAGGGTGGAGGCAGAGAGAGAGTGTCATCCGCATCCATGTGGAAGTTGACCCCATGTCTGCGGACAATGTCACCAAGAGGGAGCATATAATAATAATAATAATAACCCTTGCATTTGATATAACGCTTTTCACGTCTTCTCGACGTCTCAAAGCGCTTCACAGAATATGCTGTAAACCGAATTGACTGTATATTTGTGGGCGAAATGCGGCAGCCAATTGCGCACAGCAGCGTCCCACAAACAGTCGTGGATTGAGTGACCAAACTATAAGTATTTTGAAGGGATTATTATCCCCGGAAAGCGATCCGCCAATCGACTAACAAGTGAGTTCCTACTTACTACTAGATAAATAAATATACTTAATACTAGATAAATAGATGTTGAAGAGGAGGGGACCAAGGACAGAGCCCTGAGGAACGCCGCACAAGACGGTCCATATGCTAGAGGAGAAGCTGTTTGAAGAGATGAAGTGCAAGCGTTAGCGCCGAGGAGGTTAAGGTGAGAGGAGAGGCGGTTGATGAGGACAGAGTGGTCGACGGTGTCGAAAGCAGCAGAGAGGTCAAGGAGGACGAGGAGGCAGAGGGAGCCCTGGTCGCAGATGGACAGAATGTTATTTGTCACTTTGACCATGGTGGTTTCTGTGCTGTGGGCGGCACGGAAGCCCAATTGGAGCGGTTCGAGAAGGGAGTGGCGGGAGAGGAAGGAAGCTAAACTATGTATAGACTACTGAAATATTTACCCAGCGGAAGATAATATTTGACAAGGTTTTGTTGCTGATTTGGTTCCAGATATGTGGAAATGAATTGAAGCAAGTCGTTCGGCAATGCAATGAGAAAGGTTTGATACTCACTTGTAAACCCACGCCGTGCCCCCTAATAGCAGGGCCGCCACCAGGATAGTACCTGCGATGGCACCAATAATGATATTGGTTCTCCCCGATCCTGCGACAACGGGAGAGGAACACAAGCAGTCATACTCTCGAGAAACTAATATAAATATAGACTTGTAAAGGCTGGTTCTTGTTTCAGTTTAAGTATTTCAAATTGCCAGTCTTTCCAGGGCTCAGTACATTTTCAACACATATCTAGAACTTTATCTGAGATTTTCACACAACCCTCAACATTATTCCCCTCCTATCCGCCCGATACGCTGATTTCTGCTGCCTGTCTGAGGTGCACCTCAGTCCTCTCCTACCTGGTGCAGGTGTGTTTGTGTTCTCCCCTCGTGTTAACATACCTGTTTTCCGATTTCAATCAATATTCTCTGCACCCCCTCCATTTTGACACTGTTTTTGTGAATATTCAAACATTGATACCCATTGTTTACTTACAAGTGCTGGTCATTTCTGTGTAACAAATGTAGAATAATGATTCTTTTAACACAAACACACTGTGCTCTCCATCTTTCTTTTAGATTTTACAGATTTCTTATAGATTTTAGTCTGTAGCTGGTTCAAAATGAATCAATGGATTCAGAGATAAGCTCAATAGCAATGGATAAAATCTGTAAGATTGTAGATAGATAGCCACAGAATTATTAGACCAAAAGAAAGTTAAACAACATGTCATTTTAAAATGATTGACAACAATGAATTTGATGTTTGATTTGATATAAAAAAAAATAATTTGGTCACTTCAATCCACGACTGTTTATGGAACATTGCTGTGCGCTATTGGCTTCCGTGTTTCGCCCATAAATATACAGTCAATTCACTTTACAGCATATGTTGTGAAGGGCTCTGAGACGTCTAGAAGACGTGAAAAGCTCTATATGAAATGCAAGGATTATTATTATTTTATTTATTATATTTTTCAAAATTTTGGTATGAGTAATTGTCCCTATTACAGCAATTTCCCCACTATTAAAATCAATCTACTGATAAATGCAATTAAATGAAAACTACCTGCATTCTCCCAACATGTAAAATTATCTTAAAACGCTCGTCTCCATTAAACTCAATAACAACTTTCAAATTTCTTAAACCTCAATTCATTTCCTCATGAATAAAAATCATGTGATAATACCAAAATATAAACTCCAGAAGTGACTTCTATTGCTGGTCCAATTTGCAGCTGCCCAATAATTTTAAAAAGTGCAACTCTATTTATGATTGAGTAAATTGGGGTAAGAATTAAACTCATTGGAAGCTAAAGCATTTGCCTCTAGCAAAAAATATTACGAATATGAGGTATAATTATTATCTCAACATGTGTCAAACATATGGGCTGTTTTTCATAACTATTTGTGTAATGATTAGTCACCAATGTGTCATTGCAGTTAATGGCACAATGCTAAGGTTAACTAAGGTTTTGCAGGATTTTACTCCACAAAGGTTGTTTTATGGTAGAACAACAATGGAACAACAGCTAATTTATAAACTGCTACATTTTCTGATGAATAATTCACATGACTACATTGCACTGTTTTACTGTAAAGAAAATTCACTCCAGCTTTTGTGATAAGAGAATGAGTCTGATTTGTAAAAAGTCACTATGAATGCAAATGGGATCATCGCAATTCACAAAACTTTTTGGACAGGAATGAATATGTAAACTTTAATACAAATGTGTATTGGGCACAATGCACAGCACATCCTATTAACTGAAATGTCAAAAAGTTGTTGAATATGGAAAACAAGTGGAGGACAAGTTTTTATTAAATTCTTGTTGATTTCTGGAAAGTAACTTTTGACTTTAATAAAACTATGTTCTGTCTCCATTAAGCGCAGTATGTAATTGCATTTTAATCTCTACTTTTCCATTAACATTCCAATTAGCAAGATTATTTTGCTAACAAAGCCACCAAGTGCATTAATAATTTTACCGCTGTCATTCTATATGGTCTATTAGGCAAAAGAAAACGTTACATTTAAGTCAAACACTGCAGCCAGGGTTTGTCGGTAAAAATCTGCATCATACAAAGGGATAATATGTTTTATTTAAAAATACATACAATTGGAATCATGGAAAATAGAAGCCATTCAACCATTATATCTGTATTTGTTTAGCTCATTGACTCTATATACTCAAATGCCTTCCCCGGTTCTTTGCTCATCTTCTTTAATATTAATTTCTTTCAAGTATTTCTACAATTCCCTTTTAAATGTTGCCATGGGTTCAGCTCCACTTGTCTTCCATATTCCAATAACATTTTGTGTAAAATATTACTGCAATGTAAGGTGGAAGCGATTACATGGATAGGACGGTGTGACATCATAGCGAGATTTGAAAAACAGAACAAGGCTCTCAAAGCATTATTCGAAAAGAGAAAGGAGTTTCTCTCAATGTCCTGTTTCTCTCAATCCTCCCAGATAAAATTGGCCATTCACTGTTTGTGTGACATTGCTGGGCACAAACTGGCTGTCGCATTCGCCTACAAAATACACAGTCACAACACTTTACAGCATATCCTGTGAAACACTTTGAGATGTCCCCCTGATGTGAATGGTTCTTTATCAAATGTGAAGGATTATATTTTGATGAAGAGGTAATGCATGTGCAGAGCTTGGGAAAGAACTCGAATATTTGAAACTTCTGCAGAGTGGAAGTAGGGTGCTGGGTGAGAACACTAAAAGAAAACTATCCTCAAGTGGACAGCAGAGATGCTACCCTACGTGAAGAGCACTAAATAAATGCAAGTTGTTGCTGACAGAAGCATGGATGAGGCTGTTAATAGCAGCGGAGTGAGATAAAGGCATGATCAGGCAATGTTTCAGAGGTGGAAGAAGGCAGACAGTCATGGTGATGGACCGAATGTGGGAATCTTAATGTTGTCTGCGTACCAGATGTTATGGATTTTAAGATTTTAGATTATAGTAAAAGATTCAGCTTTGAAGTCCCGACAGACATCACAAATAAACTCTATTTACACGAACCATGGCCAACTGGTGCGACTTTTCCTATTCCAACTGGGAAATATACACTGCAATCATCGCCTCTCCAGGATTCTCCACACACACACTTCTTTTCATTACTACAGATCTGCAACAAATTAAAATAGAAACAAATGTTATATATAGTTTATACATTCTCCTTCCACTTTTCATGAAACAACATTGAGTCCCAAACTGTAAGCAATGATTAGCAAGTCCATCTTCATTTTAAAGTAGCCTTTATGAAGGAGATGGGGTTAATATCTAACTATATGCTTATACAATAGAGAATTATCATTTTATTATTCTGGAAGCAGGCTTTACGTAAATCAGCATGGGAACCACCCATTCGGCCCTACGTAGCAATAGGAAATCAAGAACATTTCCAATGTACTAATTATAAATAGAAATTGATCATATAAATTATACTTAGCAACTGATCTTTTAAAATATTTAGTGTGTCCAATTATATTTCTAATTTTCTCCCCACAGGTACACATGCCTCTCTGTTCTCCCTTGTGGTTATAATTTTTTCTCTACAGTCTTAGAGGGACTACTTTTTGTTCAAAGTAATTCCTTTAGAAAAAGAAAGTAACATTGTTTTTTCATTGTAGCTCCATTGTTATTTATGTGTAGTAGGAGGAACTGGAGGGTCCTTGAGTATAGTGAAGGATGAGTGTGGTTCTATACCTGTCTGACCATAGGAAAGTCTAGTACTGAGCAGTATTATTGTATAACTTGCTTGGACTGAATTTACCTTGATTAGGGTTCAGAGCTCCATCCTCTTCCCACTAAACTGAACTAAGCTTTTCCTCACAAGTTTCAGTATTATCATGGAATGAATGGCTTGTTCCAGGAAGAGTAGGTGTACCCCAGGTATGATACTATAATGAGGGTTTCTCAGTTCAGGTAAGGAACTCTTTCATTCGCATATTATTTTGTCCTATATTTAGCAGAAATGCTTTGAATAAAATGTGCTCCCTCTGAACTTACTCCTTTAGCCATATGCAAAAAAACATACACAACCAGACATTCCAAAGAAACTCAAGAAATCCTCAAATTGATGAACATTTTAAGAGAGAACCAGTGGGATTTGTTCAGCTGCTGATATGTTGCGCACACAATTCATAAGACCATGAATGTCACAGCTCCTGGTACAAACAATGAAAACTGCTTTTCATCTTTTCACTAGCAACATCTGCACAATTGCGAATCGTAAATTGAAAGAATTCGGAAAGCCAAATAAGTGCTACGGTTCAAAACAACTGCGTGGTAAGAAAGTGTATTTGCAATTTGCTTGACAAAAATAAACTACTTCACTGAAATCAACACAAGGGTTCCCCTTCATGCCGGGAAGATATAATATACCTTTGAAGATATGTCCTTACAGTACATGCTGGTTCGTAAGAACAATATAAAAGGGTTGTTTAGTGATGGAGTCCTGTAGCTCAGTGGTTAGAGCACTTGCTTTGCAAGCAAGACACCTGGGTTCAATTCCAGGCAGGGCGAAACCTTGGGCAAGTTTCCTTACTCCACACGCCTAATAATAATCCCTCCAAAAACCCAAAACAATAATAAATTGGTCATTTTCAATCTACGACTGTTTGTGGGACATTGCTGTGCGCAATTGGCTGCCGCGTTCGCCCACAAATATACAGTCAATTCACTTTACAGTATATTCTGTGAAGCGCTTTGGGACGTCCTCCCGACGTGAAAAGCGCTATATCAAATGCAAGGATTATTGTTATTATGAATAAAACTGCATTCTTGTCTCATTGAACTTCATTCGAAAAGTCAACGTCTATTCTACTGCTCAAGAACAACATGTTTCTTCTTATTTATCACATCTATGGAAAGATGCCTAAATGTATATCATTAGCAGGTCAAAGTGCAGTGATAGGAATAAAGGAACAATATGAGAAATTGGATGGGTAGCCAATTTCTTACTCCTTCATGGAATTGTTAGTTACCATGTAAATGACCAGCAAACGATGCCTTTCTAAAAAGGCTTATCTCTGGCTTTCACTTAACTCAAATGAATAGTGCTTGATCTCAAGTTCTGTCCACTCGGATTAAAAGAGATGCATTGTGCCAGATATCTGTGCCAGTTGAGCTCAATCTACAGTCAAAAAACATTTTAAAAAATGATTTTCTTAAATATTGTTCTTCGGATGAATGACCTTATGGGTCCATTTCTTATGACAATGATTCACACAAAAAAAATCAATGCATCCCCAATGTGGTTTATCTTCTATGTGTCAGCCTCCATTTTAGGCTAAAACTTTGTGAAACTTTTCAGGCTCACTTCTTTTTGTAATATCTGTGCCACTTTCTCATTGTCCACCTACATGATCACATTTCTAACCTTGTAATCTTATGCTGAAGCAAAGTCAGACAAAGAAGGAAGAAGAAATCTATTCTCTAAATATTTTTGAAGCAATCATGAAACTGAGTCCAGGTAAAGGCCTTTAGTTCACTTTAAAACATTATCTGAACCATTTTTTCTACAGGGAAACTCCTGTATGTTACACCAAGGTCTGAGACCTTGGCTCCAAGAATGCCATATCAATGCAGAAGTCTTTCGAGTCAGTGCAACTGACATAGATTTCCTTGCAGAAGGTGCCATTGGAAAGCATATTTTCAGGTGTTGTAACGCTGATCTGAGAAGTGCTGTTTCTACCCTCAATATCTGTTAAGTGTCCGTGTTGGGATCCTGGCTGATCAAGCTGCTTTGTGGATCAGTCACACAAAAGTCCCTACAAAACACAAAATACTGCAGATGCTGGGAATCTGAAACAAAAACAGAGAGAGCTGGGAAAACTCAGCAGGTCAGGCAGCATCCTTGAAGAAAGGAAAGTGAGTCAATGTTTCGGGTCCACGATCCTTCGTCAGAACGGTCGTGAACCCAAAAGTTTGACTCACTTTCCTTTCTTCATAGATGCTGCCTGACCTGCTGAGTTTTCCCAGCTCTCTCTGTTTTTGTTTCACAAAAGTCCCTTCCTGACATTCCCAACAAAAGCTCCTGATCTCATACAGAGGTGCCTGGGGAAACACTGAACAGTGTTGAGTTACTTCCTCTAAGGGAAAAAACAGGAGGAAATTCAAATTGCACCATTTTTATGCATCTCCCATGTTTTGTTACCATTGGTAGAACCTTGGTAGCCTACCTACCCTTAGCAAATTGGGCACTGTGTTGGCCAGTCCTAAATAGGAAGAAAATAAATATTTTAAGGGACAAATACAATAAACAGTGTTTAAAGAGTGTTAAATTGGGCAGTTTATTTTCAAGAATTGGAATTCATTCTTTAAATGTCTTTTTCAGATGGAGGTGCATCCTGACCGACACACAATTGCTCTGACGTCCTTCCATTAGTAATTAATTCAGCTGTTAGTAATCTTGTTTCGCTGGAGTCTAAGATGAGGGATTTGCAACAGGATTCCAAAGGATTCATAAATATAGATTCCTGATGGTAATCAGATGTGTGTCAGCTGACCCCGTTGGAACTTCAATCTATTTTCGAATCTCGCTCTAGGCACATTAAAGCAGAGTTCCCATGGGTTGGTGTGATGCACATCTGGTTACTAGCAAAGATTCAATATTTACAAGCACCACAGTTTATACCCCAAACTTACATCATTAGGACTCTAGATCCCGTGAAGGGCACTATATAAATGCAAATTATTGTTGCTGTTTTAAATAGTTCATTGCATACATAGAGAATGAGGAGAAAATTTCCAACCAATCTGTTCCTTTGCATTTAATGTTAATATTAATTGAATGGATTGTATTAATTCATTTTTAATATAACATAAGTGAAATATCACATCAATCCTGCATTTCTTTTTTAGTAACATAACTTTTATATTACCTGACATGAAAGGCGGTTTGCTTTTTTAAAAAATGTATTGTTGTCGTTTCCCACCCCTCCTGATCCCAACCCCCAGCTCAGGTTCAAATCCCTGACTGTTAAGCACCTTAGGACGTCCTCCCGACATGAATGGCACTATACAGATGTAATTTGTTGTTGTTTATATAGTGCCCTTCACATGGGACAGTGTCTCAGAACGCTGAATAGAAGAGCAACGAAGTGATGTTTCAATTGTACAGAGCCCCGGTCAGATCTCATCTGGAGTACTGCGTTCAGTTTTGGACTCCACACCTTACGATATCACACATGTCAGGTCTTGGTGAAGGTGCAGCACAGATTCACCAGTACCTGGGCTGAAGGGGCTAAATTACAAGAGCCTGGGCAAATGGGATATATTTCTTTGAGCTAAGGGGTTGATATATCTGATTGAGGTGTTTAAAATGATTTGACAAGGTAAGACAGAGAGAAATATTTTCCTCTAATATAGGGGAATAATATAGGGGTATCCAGAACACAAAGGCATAATTTTATTTTGGAGAGTAACCAATATTTTTTCACACAAAGAACTCTTGCAATGTGCAATTCACAACAAAGATACCAACGACAAAATTACATTTGTATAGCGCCTTTCACGTCAGAAGGACGTCCCAAGTTGCTGGACAGATAGAATTACGGACCCGAGTTGATGGAGGGGGTAGAGCGGGTGGGGAGCACGAAGATCGAAAGCATGGTCAAAGAGGAAGGTCTTGAGGTGGGTCTTGAAGGTGGCGAGGGAGGGGCGAGATGGAGGGACTGCGGGATGGAGTTCCAGAGGATGGGTGCAGAGTGGTGGAAGACCCGCCCACTAATAGTAGGGCGAGCAAGGCAGGGGACATGAAGCAGGCCGGAGCCCGATGAGCGGAGGAGCAAACAGGGTGGTAGGAGGTTAGGACGTCGTAGAGGTAGGGGGCAGCAAGAGCATGGAGGGCTTTGAAAGTAAGGACCAGGATCTTGAACTATATCCTCTGTATGAAAGGAAGCCAGTGGAGTTGGGCGAGGATGGGGGTGATAGGGTCACGTAGCCTAGAGCGAGAGAGGACATGGGCTGCAGAGTTCTGGATGATCTGCAGTCTGTGGAGGGAGGAGTTGGGGAGGCCGACAAGCAGTGAGTTTGCAAAGTCGAGCCTCGATTTAATGAAGGAGTGTATGAGGGTTAGACAGTGTCGGAGCCGGGCAACGTTGGGGAGGTGAGGGACGGCAG